ATCCTGGTGGGCTCCCTCACTAACCGTGAGATCACCTCCACCCTCAAGCTTCACTCCACACTGTGGAATGGGGCATGAAGGTGGAGCCACAAGCAGTGGGGCTTGGGGCTTGGGGCTGCGAAACACTACTCTGGAGCCAGCAGTGCTGTTTGGCCGCCTCGGACCAGATCACCTGGGGCGCAGTCTATTTTGCACTGAAGTCCAGGTGGTACAGGAAATCGTGAGGGTTCTGTTTCGAACACCACAAACCTGGTAGCCCATCTGGTAGGGGAAAGCGGGAGCTCATCCCATACAGTGGGCCCAGATTAGTATGTCGACCCTGCCAAATCACGGGTACCCTTGTGTCCTGTGTCTCGCGGCCCATGCCTCCTGCATTCCTGTGGCAACGTGGCCCTCGGAAGGGTCTTGTGTCTTGTATCCTCTCGCGTGTCCTGTCCAATCGAGTCCGACCGTACAAGAATTCGTGGGGGTTCTGTATCCAACATCACAGACCTGGTAGCCCATCTGTCGGGACGACCGACATGGGTACGGAAAGAATGGGTACAAAGACCGACAGCAGTTCTTGTTCATTTTGAACAGGGTTCGCTGTCGGCGTCGCCGCGGCTTGTGTCCATCTGAGACAAAAGGCCGGCTGCCAAACAGCGGCCGCTGTCGCTTCGGGACAAGATTTGCCGTTGGGCACTGCGCCCGTTGTTTCCGTACCCACTTCGGGCGTCCAAGATCTGGTAGGGGGAAGCGGGAGCTCACCCCATGCCAGGCAAGGTGGCGGCCACAGCAGCGACAGGGACCCTTTGGTTCGGACACTGGAACATATACACTACCAGTGGCGGGCTCTCTTTCGATCCCATGACTTTTTCCCAACCATCATGTGGTCTTGGGTCTTCGTTTTGAAGAGACAGCGCCCCGCGTTCCCACCTTCCTCCCGCTGCCCCCCTCCCAGTGGGTGTGCCCGCATGCGCCCCGCCCACCCATTTCGGCACACCCCTCACACGTTTCGTGGCCCCATAGGTAGCTCCACCGAAGGCCCCAGTGGGTGTGCCCGCATGCGTCCCGCACACCCATTTCGGCACACCCCTCACACGTTTCGTGGCCCCATAGGGAGCCCCACCGAAGGTCCCAGTGGGTGTGCCCGCGTGCGTCCCGCACACCCATTTCGGTACACCCTTCACACGCTTCGAGGCCCCATAGGGAGCTCCACCCAAGGTCCCTGTGGGTGTGCCCGCATGCGTCCCGCACACCCATTTCGGCACACCCCTCACACGTTTCGTGGCCACATTGGGAGCTCCACCGAAGGTCCCAGTGGGTGTGCCCGCATGCGTCCCACACACCCATTTCGGCACACCCCTCACACGCTTCGTGGCCCATAGGGAGCTCCACCGAAGGTCCCAGTGGGTGTGCCCGCATGCGTCCCGCACACCACTTTCTGCACACCCCTCACACGCTTCGTGGCCCCATGGGGAGCTCCACCGAAGGCCCCAGTGGGTGTGCCCGCATGCGTCCCGCACACCCATTTCGGCACACCCCTCACACGCTTCGTGGCCACATTGGGAGCTCCACCGAAGGTCCCAGTGGGTGTGCCCGCATGCGTCCCGCGCGCCCATTTCGGCACACCCCTCACACGTTTCGTGGCCCCATAGGGAGCCCCACCGAAGGTCCCAGTGGGTGTGCCCGCATGCGTCCCGCACACCCATTTAGGCACACCCTTCACACGCTTCGAGGCCCCATAGGGAGCTCCACCGAAGGTCCCAGTGGGTGTGCCCGCATGCGTCCCGCACACCCATTCCGGCACACCCCTCAAACGTTTCGTGGCCCCATAGGGAGCTCCACCGAAGGTCCCAGTGGGTGTGCCCGCATGCGTCCCGCACACCAATTTCGGCACACCCCTCACACCAGTGGGTGTGCCCGCATGCGTCCCACACGCCCATTTCGGCACACCCCTCACACGCTTCGTGGCCCCATACGGAGCTCCACCGAAGGTCCGAGTGGGTGTGCCCGCATTCGTCTCGCACACCCATTTCGGCACACCCTTCACGCGTTTCGTGGCCCCACAGGGAGCTCCACCGAAGGTCCCCGTGGCGCCTCCCCCACCCAGTACACCTCCGTCGGGGGCCGTCGGAGTTCCGCGCCTCCCTCGCCCGTCGTCGCTCTGCCCAGCGGCAAGAGCCTTGCCCGCTATCAGCCAGCCAGCTAGCTCTCTTTGTTGCGCGCAGCGGACGACCCGCGCGCGTCGCTGGGACCCCTCCAGGGCGACCTGCGCGCGTCGTTGGGATTCCGCGCTGCGCTGCGCCCGCAGCTTTGGACTTTTGAGTGCGCGGGCAAACAGGGAGTAAAAGAAGGGGAGGAAGCGGGCGCGATCCTCGCGGTGGCGTCGCGGCGCGCGGGCGATGCCGTCGGGGAGTCCCGGGGAAGCCCCTTGCGGCGGCCACGCCCAGCGTCACGAGTACTCACAGGCAGTCATTCACAAACTATTAGCATTCATATACAAGTGCACCATGCATTGGCATACTCGCATTCATGCACGTAGACTCGCTCGCACGCAGATTCATTCACAGTCAGACGCACTCGCGCTCAGATTCGCCCGCGCTCAGTCTCCCTACGTATTCAGATCAATCGTTTTCGTTCGCGTCGTGTACCACGCCATTAATTTCGGCACACCACTAGCACGGTTCGTTGCCCCATAGGGATCACCACCGAAGAAGGGAATTACAATTGCGGTACTCACACCTGCATATGCTTGGGTCCTTCGTCTGGCTAATTTGCGGGTCGGGGGCGACGTCGGAGTGGTGTGGTGCATGCCTTGTTTCCCCGTTTTCCAGGGGAGACAACGAAGAATGTATACACCAGGATCCCGTATACACCAAGATCCGCGTTCGTGTGCGAGCGTCAGTACAGGGCCGGAAAAAGCGTTGGTGTACAGAGTTGGGTTCCCTATTGGCCGCCGGCCACAGCGCCGGCCCGCGGCCACAGCGCCAGCGGCCTGCCTCCTCGCTGCAGGTGCCGGGTGCGGGAGAGGCTGCCGGGCGCACGCCAAGGGGGGCAGGTCCTGCCAAAGGTGCACGGGGGCCTGCAGCTGCTGTTGTGGAGGACGGTCACTGGAGAAGAAGCATGTTGCCAAGTAATTTCCAGATGTTTCAACAATGTGTTAAGCATGTTTTGAACATGTTAAAGACATGTTGAAAACATGCTTGGAGCATTTTCCGTCATCTTAAACACATTTTAACATCAAGGATCGGACTGTCAGGGTGTCCATTGTCGTGGCATCCACAAAACTACGGGTTTAAGAATAGCAAGGACAGTCGAAGTGTACGCCCCTGACTGCCAGTAGCCCGAACATTCAGCAGCAGAGGCACGAAAGGCCTGAAAGTCAGTAGGAGAGGGACCCATGACGCAGTGGCTCCAAGTACCCACACGAAGGACCCCAGGTTTGAACAGCTTCCGAGATCGGCCACACAGACGGGCCACCTCTTGCAGTTTGCGGGCCCTCCCAAATACCGTCCACCTCCGAAGTTTCACCTTCCAAGTGTACCTCCTCCTCCCCGTTGCGGTTATCACGCCAAGATCCTTAACAGCCTCTGCAATCTGCATCGGGATCCCCAACATCTTGAACTCCAACTCACCAGATCTAGCTAACGAAGCATTGGAGGCGACCACGGCGATCTTGGTGGAGACCTTGCACCCTAACTATGGATTTCGCATCCTGAGGAGCAACCTTCATGATGTGTGTGCACGTGTCTGGGCATACTGTGCTGTATCATCCACGTATGATCTGATAGGTAACTATAGCAATCTTGGATGCGCACGGTGCAACACGTCGTGCAGGAGACTGTGTGAAGCCAGCAAGGATGCACCTGGGGAGGAG